GTTTCTATGTTTGCTGTGAGCTGTTGTCCTGTTTGGTCTGTTTCTGCTCCTCCATGATGTCACAGACACTAACAGAGGACGTGGGCGGGGCTCAGTCTAGTGTTCTTATTCAAGTCTATGCCTCCATCAGGCTGACAGAGGGAGGAAACACGTACCAACAGGACGTGCAGCTGTCGCCATGACAACAGCCTCCCTGCAACACAGAGATGTTTATGAATACTAATGTGGGTGGAAGTGTTTATTTCAGCTGACTGTGTGTCAGCACGGGATCCAAACGCTCACTTCACACTCCCTTTTACTCTCTGATCTCATAAAAAAAACACATTTAGTTTTATTTCTCTTAGTAAACCAGGAAATACTCCACTGAAATATTAAACAACAACAAACGTGATAAAACTGGACTAACAGAATCAGGGATTAAAGGTAACATTTAGTGAAAATACAAATGAAAATATAATAATTTCCTGTTCTGGAGTTTAAACAGGAGCATTAAAGTTCTCCTGCTTTGGTCCAGATCAATATTAGATTGAATAAAAAAAATAACTCAGCTGATTGGATTTTAGCTCCAGGTCGACAAAATGTCGCCCAACAGCAAAGATGGTGGAGAGTGACCGAGACGCAGGAAACCTGGGATTAAAACTCAGGATTATTGCACTAAATGTTGATTTCTGATCCCGTCTAAACGTGACCGTTTGAGTTATTTAAAGCCCCGAAAGCCTTTTTCTGTTTGTTTTACAATAAACGAGAAGCTTTTTTATTTCAAATTCAGAATAAACGACGTCAGCAGGTTATAAAAATAAAACAGAAATATTTATTTTACTCAAATACAAACCCATTAATAATAAAATCAATGAAAAACTGATGATTTAACAGCAATCACGTGCTGTTTTATTATTTATCTGCATTTTGCTTCTATTATCTTATAGTTTTAAAATCATTAAAGTGCACTGTTTTAATATCAGATTTATTTATCATTTATAAACACTGAACATAAGCCAAACAATGTAAACAATTCTGTAAATAAACACAAATAACACGGTAATTATAGAGACATGATCACAGTCACCTCTCCCAGTAACAACATTATTGTTAATATTAATTACAATAATAATATTAGCCTTTTTACCCGTAAAAAGGCCTCACGTTGACCTTTAACGCGGTGTTTATAACAGTCGGTGTTTTCTGACAGCTGTAACCGGAATAACCTTCCGGTTTTACGACACGTTCAGTCATTCACCCCGGAGCGTCGAACAGCAAGAATTAAAACTGAAAATGAAACTAATACCGTATTTAAATGAGTAAAAACACCGACAAAATACCGATAATCTGATTCATTCCGACAGATTCGACAAGTGTCTGTCAATCATTAATATTTCATCAATGACAAAAGGATGCTGGCGGTGAGACGAGCGGAAAAGAGCCGAAATTACCTTCAATAAAGAACTGATTTCCGTTCGAGCGGTTCTGGTTCGGGTCCGGCCGGGTTTAGATGTCCACGGCTGCGTGGGTTTAAGTGCGTTTCCTCGGCCTGTCTTCGGATGAAAGGTTTCGTCTACTCTCCATCCCCGACAACAGCAGCCATCTTGATCAGAAGAAGCGAGAAGACAACAGCGGCAGCGCAGCCAATCACAGCCCGCCCCTTTGCATCAAGTTAGCCAATCCGAGGACACAACTTCCGCCTAATGCCTTCAAAAATAAAAGCGTTTACGAAGGTTGCTTCCTGTGAAAAATAAAACCAGCTACGTATGAGATTTTATTCTTCATCTCTCTCTCTAAGATAATCAAACTTAATATCTTTTAATTAACGTCTACACATTGTGATTTAGAATTGAAAACAACTTTATTCATAACCCTGAAGTGACAAATATTGCAAAACTGCCATCTTTCAATCTTGCATGTTTTGCTTTGATTTAAACACACACACACACACACACACACACACACACACACACACACAC